TTAAGAATTCTATAGGGGCAGTGAGATGGCGCAGTAGATAGAGCATGAGCCCTGAGTTCAAATCCGGCCTCAGACCAAACACTTAACACTTACTAGCTGTGTGACTCTGGGCAAGTCACTTAACCCCAATTGCCTTAAAAAAATGAAAATGAAATATTTAAGAATTCTGATCAAAGCAATGAGAAACCATGTTTGCAAAAAACCCAAGATGACACAAGTTACTCACTTTTTGACAGAGAGGTGATAAACATGAGGTACAGAGACATACAATATTGCGCATGACCACTGTGTGGATTCATTTTGCTCATCTACTATGCTTTTTTGATACAGAGTTCTCCCTCCCTTTCTTTCCCTTGGTTAATTGGAGGGGTCTGGGTGTGTAGGAGAAGGGGGAGAAGTGGGTAGTGATAGTGTTAGGGAAAAAAAGAGGACCACTGAAACATTGTAAAATGCATAGAAGAGAACAGAAGGGCATTCAGAAGGAAGCACAGACAAGGGCTGTTTTTAAAGTATTATGTAGAATGTATAATTTTTAAAGCAATATGATGTAAAATAGAGATTCACAGTTTCATACAGAATCTCCTTTCTGCATTCTGTACATAAGAAAATACTCTTTTTTGGTGTTTTAAATTTTTTGAAACAAATGTAACATTCACTTCAATGAAGAATGGCTCAAATATTCAGGATAAGGACCAGGCCTATAATTTTAATGGTACAGGAAACTCACAGATGAGGAAGTTCACTCTACCAATGCAGGTTGGCACCTTCTTTGAAACTTAGAGTCTTACAGGCTTGCTTAGAGCATAAGTGTCAAACATGAGACTGGGCATGGCCTGCAACACTCCTGAGAGTTCCCAAAATAAATAAAAATACAATAGAATATAGCTAATGTAAATATGTGGTCTATGGCAATCCTTGCATAAGGTTTAGTGGCCCTGCTTCTATTTGAGTTTGACACAAATGGCTTAAAGAAGTGAGAAATTAAGTGACTTTCCCAGGGTCCAACAGACAGGATATATCAGAGGTGAGACTTAAACCTAGCTCTTTCTGACTCTAAGTGCTTCTCTTATCCCATAAAGCACATTGCCTCTCAACCCAAATATTAAAAAAAAAAGTGATGTCTCCCTGAGTTGGGGAGGAAGTGAATGTGCTTTTGGGCCTTTATGAAATTCTATGGTTCTGGATGTACTTGTCCAGTTCCCTAACCACTGTTTCAAAAAGTGGTTTCAACAGAGCAGAATGGAATGTATTATTATGCTCTCTCATTTGTGTAATCTTTCCAAAGCTGGCCAACATTTATCCAAACAGAAATGGTCACCACACAATGTCCTAAACAGAACTGAAGGGAGTCTTCTGAAACTGTGCTTACTTCCCTTTGTGTGATTAGACAGGAAAGGAAAAAAGTCTTCTTACTGTGTTAATTAAGAGGGGTGATGCACAGGGCAAAATACTTCTCATTTATTCCTTAAAATTTAACCTCTCAGCTTGCTCCATTAAATGAAAGGAAGCTTCCTATTTTAATTTTTCCAGTCTTTATGTGGAAGGTTTCCCATCCTCAATTATTTATTACACATACAGGAAAAAGTGATATTAAACTTGAATGATTTAAAATTATATTATTGCAGAAACTTTTTTTTCAGTGCTTCCAAACATTAGGAGTGAATCTGTAGCAAGGATTTTTCTACCTTTCTTGGTTCTGAGAAAATTTAGGTAAATAGGTAAAGAGCAAGGAGAAACCAGAAGCCAAGTCACAAAGGTATTTCAAAATGAGTCACTATTGTAAGAACTCCTCCTACATCACTCAACATATCAGCTCTATTATCCAAAGCATGTCGGCTGAAGGGTGGCAACAGAAGCGATAGGGAACATAGTAAAGCAAAAACTGTTGAGGCAAACTATTTATCTCTAATCCTCTAGAACACTGATGCACCTTTGATCTATCTCCAGTCTCAGATAATAACACTATCTGGAGACAAACTCATTTTCATAAAAAAAAAAAAATAGAACCTGGTGTCCCTTGAACTGGAAGCCAGGGTTTTCCACAAAGCTATGCTACTTTCTATCCCCACTCTCTCCTTTTTCTTGCTCTCAATGATGACTACTGCCTGGATTTACTGGATTTATAATGCTGTTGTACTTCATTACTGCATGTAGGGAATGTCTCTAAAAATCCAGACCATGCTCACTTATCTTTGTTCAAAATGACCAGCCAACTAAAGAAGGCAACTGTATAACTCTTTTCATATACTCCCTTTGGTTTAGCCTAATCCAATAGCATTACTATTTTTAAATCCTTTTACTGCCTATGTACTTTCCATCAGTACAAATATTAATTAAAATGTAATTACAATTAATTTCAACATCAAGGGGCCTTTGAACTCATATAAAATAATGTGCTACAGATTACAATATTTATTTATCATCAAGTTAATTTCTTTTCTATTCTTTTCAAGTGTTTTCAGTTACATTTATGCCCATATCTCAAGTAACAAAATAGAGCTCATTTCTAGATTACTGAACTCCCCTCCATTTACCTATATTTTGAGAAGTTTTTAAACTCTCTGAAGCTTGTGGATGAGCTTAACAGGGCATGCTAAGTAGGAAAAGTGGATGGTTGTCTGTGATTTACAGGCTGTTTTCACTGTCAATCAGTAACTTATAGAATTCAGTATTTTGGATATAATCCTTTATCTAAGGCACAGCGCCTCCACATGGTACCAAGGAAAAGAACAATCCTTTTGAAAAGAACTCTAACTACAAACTAAATTATTTTTACTTTAGTTTTGTTCTGTAATGGAGAAGGGTTCTTACTCTCTGTGTAATCATTTTTAAAGACCATTATCTATATTTTCTCACTGCACAACTATAGTTCTACATAATGGATAATAAACTTAAAAATATAAACACTAATCTTTACAGCCACTTATTAAATTGACACAAAAGCATTTGGGCTGCTTCAAAAGGGGAGGGCAATTCGGACCTTTAAACATTTTGGCAAAGGTAGGTTAAATAATGGCAAGACAACATTTCATCTATATGCACAATAAATTCTCAATCCATGTCATGAGATGAGTGGTACTTTTTCATTTGTCCTATGATTAACGATGCCCTTCTTTTATCCCTTTTTTCTTTTCTTTATTTATTCTCCACCTCCCTATGCATTCCCTGATTTGCTCCCCTCTGCTTTTATAAATCCACTTTCCTAGTAACACTTACACCCTGATCAAGCACTCTTTCAATTACTTATTTCCAGTACCCAGTTCCCAGGCCAATTCTAGTCCATGAATGATTCAACTAAACAGAACATCAATGCCAAGACTTCTGGTCTACAAGATCATATCCTGACCCAGACTCAAAACATGACTGACTAGGAAATTCCTGAATTCCAGACTCCAGGGACACTCTCTCCCCCAATCTCTTCCCCTCCCCTGCTTCAACCCTATCCCAAGCATTATCATTATTGCTGAAGGAACAAAGGACATAACTATTTTCATTTTTCAATCCATGGGAAAGATCACTTCCATTAAACCTAGATAGGTTTTCAGCAATATTCAAAGGGTGCTGACCCCAGATTGTTTGGAGGAGAAAAGTTATTGGGTAAATATATAGAGGACAAGGGCAGGGGAATAAAAACCACATAGAACAAACAAACAAAACAAAACAAAACAAAAAACCCAATTCCTTGTGTGAACTGACACAGTGAGAGGGACACAAAGGGATATAATAAACTACCTACTGACTCAGATCATAAACACCACAGGGAGCTCATGAATGAATACAAGGCAACAGTATGAACAGTCTACGGTCTGACACCAGATACCAGGCAAAACTGTCCTGCAGATGCTTCAGTCTAAGAATCTGTGTGGGGTCCATTAGCAAGCCACAGAAGTCAGTAGAATCAAAGGATTAAACTTCCTGAAGCCCGGAGCTTTATAGGATTTGAGGAAAGTTTCACTGCCTTAAACCTGTATGTATCTACTAAGCACAAAACAAGTGACCCATAAATAAATGTTGAGTAAGTAATTGACTGGTTCTGGCCATAAAGTGTGAGAACAAAATATAGAGAGGCCCACAGAAAGTAGGAGATGGCAACTGAAAAGTGCTAAGGATAATGTGGGCTGCTCTTCAGAGTATCTATCATGAACCAGTTATGACCCAAATGCACCAATAACTCTAGGCATAGAAAAGGCATTACAATTCCTGTAAGTCAACAAACTTCTCTTACTAGGTAAAGAAGATGCACCTGTCCCCCTCTAGGTTCAATTAAAAAATTATTAATCACTTATGATGTGTAAAATATTGGCTCTTGGAAGGAAGCTCTGGCCGACACTCAAGGCTACCTCCCTCACTCAAAAGGGTACCGTAATTAACTCTCCAGGTGAAAGCATAAAAAGAAGACAAAAGATATAAACTTCCTCCTGTGTATACGAATGGAAGTGATTATTCTCTGTAAGACCATTCAATGACAATATCCATCATCAGACATTACTTTGCAGAAGCTACTTTTCCTGTTAGGTAAGTTGTTTGCTTTATCAACTTTAATAATTCCCAGGAATAGTACGTAACCTTCAGGTGTCACCTGCACACACATAAACATCCCTCTAAAGGCTTCCACTCTCACTTGAATAAATTTGATTGTAAGGCCCGATATCTTCTACTTTCTTTTTTCCTCTCTTGTATCTAACAACTTACGTGAAAGGATCTTGGACATGTCTCCTCCATGAGGATAGTTTGGTTCTGGTATCTTTGATTTGCTTATCAAAGTCCAACAATCATACCTGCGAGTGCAGTTTTACACACACACGCGCACACACACACACACACACGCACGCACACACACTGTACCCTTGACACATACCACAGAATGCAGGACACACAAGTACACACACGTGAGTACACCCACACACAAAGATAGGCAACCAGAGGTTCCCATACTCAGCCACACACATGTGAGATGCTACCCTAAGCGAGAAGCTTCATAGGAAGAAAAGCGTTAGTACCAATCCACCACAGGTGCTGACTGAAGCAAAGGAGTCGTTATAACCCAATACGTGACCCGTGTAAAAGCAGAGCTCGGCCTCTGGGATCCGACTCCCTGTTGCCCCGTGCTCTTCAACCACGAAGCCCCGGGAAAGGAAGCGCAGGTCCCGCCGCAGCTGCAAGTAGAGGTCCCGCCCGAAGGCCGGCAAGTGTAAGAGAAAGCCACGCTTCCCCAATCCGGAGGACTGCTCTGCAGAGGCGGCTGAGTGAGGCTGCTGCCGCCGCCGCCGCCGCGGTGAACCTTGGCCACCGGCCCCCACCTCCCCGGTTGGCAGTGGCAGCAGGTGGATGTCCTCCGGACGCACCCGCTGAGGGAGCACCACTTCCAGCTCAGCAGCGGTGACGCCTCCAACTGCTGAAAAGAAGGGAAAAGAAAAGACCAAATTAGTGGCACTGGTCCCATACACCCAGCTCCTCGAGGATAACTAGCCAAGCAGTTGGGGCTCGAGTCTGGTTCCATTCCAGGAGCCATTCTCTGATCACTCAGTGAGGCCAACTCCACCTCTTCCCCTTGCAGCTGCCTAACAGACAGCAAGCAGGGAGGTGTGCTGGAGAGGACCTGGACACTGTTAGAAGCTTCTGACCTGGCTTGCTTCAGCCTGGAAGCCCCCTCCTTCCTTCCATTCCACCCCAACCCTGTTGGGTCACCCTCTGCTGTATTCGCCCTCCCTGCACACTGAGCCGGGGCCCAGCAGCCCCTTTCCACTGAGTGCTCAGGTTTCAAGCTCCAGACTCAATACACTGGAAATTCTGAACAAGCAGCGAAGACAATGGAGCCAAACAGGGAGATGATTTATATTTCCTTTCCGCATTGATGCCTAAATATGCTTCTGAATGAGTGTCTCACTCACCACCGTTCCTCTCTCTCACCCCCACCCAAAATGGGTTTTTGCAATAAACCACACACGTTGAACTTCACGAAAGTTAACCGAATTTCTCGGAACGGAGGGAAAAGAAGAGAAGCATCAGGCAACTTCTGCACAAGTTAAAGCAGGAGTGGGGCAGCCTAAGAGCATCTAGCCACTTTGCGCATGGAGTTGGTACAACAGACCAGAACACCGGGAGCTGCTGAGAAAAGTCTCAGCCTGGAACTACAGCCCAGCAGCCTCCCCTCAGCCCCGCCATCCCCGTCACTGACAGGGAGCAATTGGCGTCCTAGCCCTTCGAAACAGGACCGACACCAGGGACTGCTGCGGTGACCGCTGTTTGCGTGATGCTGCTGCTGCTGTTGCTGCTGCTAGAGTTGGAGACAGAACCCGGTGTGGAAGGAATGGGGGGGGGGGGGTTTGGAAGTGATGCTACACCGGCCAAGCTTCAGGCGGTGGGGAGGGCGCGCTGGAGGGGAAGTGGCAGTGAATGGAAAGGGGCAAGGTAGGGAAGGAAAGAAAGAGCTACCTGCGCTTGTGTCCAATCCCCCAAACCACAGCAGCAACAGCAAAGGAAATGAAAGAGGAGGTAGGAGGGAGCCGTCAAACATTGTATTTCAGTGGAGAAGCCCCACCGAACTTGTCTCTTGCAGCAGGAGGTAGCGGTGGTGGCAGCCGCAGCGGCAGATCCCAAGCTGGAGTGAAGCCCTCCAGCCTTCGGAAAAATTAATTAGCGCTGCGGACAAACCCAACGTGGTAAATCCCAAACCCCGCCTCCCCTGGCGAAAGCGGGTGGCGATTGGAATCTGGCATTTCTCGTCTCCGCCTCTTGCTTTACTATTGGTCGCCGCAAATAAAAACCAGGGTCATATGTTAGGTTGTAAGCACTTTTTTTACACGTGGTTTTTGTGTAGTGACTGGGAACCTGTCGCCAGGTGGCGGAAGAGAGTATACTCTACCTGGCGGAGAAGGAACGGAGCAGGAGACAGTGGTTACCTGGTCTTTCAGTGGAAATCAGGATCGCAGGGATCCTGTGTTGTTCTCTGGTATTGTTTGTTTATTTCCTTCCTTCCCGGCAAAACTGAACAAAAATCACCCCGGACAACTCCACTGTTAAAATAATAAATATTTTACATTCTTAAAGTATTTTTAAACATTTCACATTTATGATCTCACTTTATCCTTAAAGCAACCCTGTGAAATAAGCATTGTTAACCCCATTTTACAGACTACAAAACTGAAAAAGAGATAGTTTATGAATTAGTGGCACAAAATTCACACGTTCACCATTTAATGCGTCTGTGCACAGTACGGCGAGGCAAAGTCACATGGGTCTCTGGAGCACTTCCTGCTGTTTTATGCTATAGATCTCCAAGGAGGATTCCACTACCTATCTTGACAGTGTGTCTCAGAAAAAAACGGATTAAACTGATGCATAATATAAGCAGCCACTGAATTCTAGGATACAGCTTTCCAAAGGCGGGGTTAGAAGAGAGACAGTGTACTACAAACCTATTTATGTATAATTTATTTACTTGTAATGAACAAAAGATAGCTGGAAAAGAGTTTGTCAGTATTGGCAGAGTGAATGAAGCATTATTAAGCACTTAATGTGTGCAAAAGTATTAGGCTGAGCACTAGAGATACAAGATAGCCCTTGCTCTCAAGGAGCTCACATTTTAATGGAGAGGACGACACAGATGGAACATTTCAGCTGCAAGTCAAAAGGAAAGTTCCCATGGTCTTTAGAGTACAGAGACAGAACAGATGGTAATACTTCTTTAATTTCATTGCCACTGATAAAATTACATCAGTTTTTGATGTTGAACCATCTGACAGTGCCCAGAACTTTGGTGACAAATATTCTTTTCTGAGTTAAAAAGACAAAATGTGGCTGTAGTACCCATAGGAGCAGTTGCAAGGCCACATCTCCCCAAGAGTTGCTTCCCAGCGTAATTGCTGCTGACACTTGGCTGGAAGCACTTACATTCCCAAGATCCTTGGGTTCAGGTTCAGTCAGTCAATAAACATTTATTAAGCACCAACTATGTACCAGGAACTATGGTAAGCACTGGGGTACAAAGAAAGGAAAAAAGAAAACCCTTACTCTGGAGGAGCTCACAATCTGACGGGGGAGACAATATACACAACAATGTACAAATAAGCTATATACAGGATGAAGTGGAAATAATTAATGGAGGGAAGGCACTAAAATTAAAGGGGATCAGAAATGGACTTCTTGTAGAAGGTGGGATTTTAGTTAGGATTAGAGGCAGAGATGAGGAGGGGAAGCCTTCCAGACATGAGGGACAACTAGTGAAAATAACTAGAGTCAGCAGTTGGAGCTTCTTGTTAAAAAAAAAAACAAACAACTCACCAGGAGGCCAATATTACTTGGCCACAGAATATTTGGGGGCAGGTAACGTGTCAGAAGACTGGGAAGGTAGGGATGAATATGAATATCTTTGAATGTCAAGCACATTGCTTTATATTTGCTTCTGGAGGTGATAAAAAGCCAATAGTTTACTGAGTGTGTGTGTGTGTGTGTGTGTGTGTGTGTGTGAAAGAGAGAGAAAGAGAGAGAGAGATGTGGTCATACCTATACTTTGGGAAGATCCCTTTTGGGGCTAGGTCTTGGGCTGGCCCCATTAGAGTCAAAGGAATAATTATCTTCAAGGTAGTGTTAGTGGTGATTTGACTTCCCTGGTACTCACAAGGCAAGTATGTTTCTCTACCTCTTTAGCAGTAGACTATCTTGCCTCCCCACATAAAGACTATAAAGGCTGGGCTGAAAGTAGGACCAATGATACTTGGGGTGCTATCTCACACAGGACTTTTGTGCTTATCTACTCGCTAGTGGCGGTTGGATAGCAGTTACAGTTGGTGGTGTGAGGGAAGCGGGCCTCTTCTCCACATGAGTGGTGGGCTGTTCTGTTCCAAGGGATCACTCTCTTGTTTGTTTGGCCTTCCTTGAAGAGAAAATGAGTTAGCCTGTGATTGCAGTAGTGTTAAACTCAGCCATTAGTGGATCCTTGCACCCATATTGACTTAAAAAACCATGTATTAGGGGCAACTAGGTGGTGCAGTAGATAGAGCACTGGCCTTGGAGTCAGGAGGACCTAAGTTAAAATCTGGCCTCAGACACTTACTAGCTGTGTAATCCTGTATGACCCAATTGCCTCCCCCCCCCCCCCGGCCAAAAAAAGAGAACCTCATGTTAACATTATTTGTGTTCCATTGTATTTTTAATTTATTTTGTTAAATATTTCCCATTACATTTTACTCTGATCTGAGCAGCACTAGGGAGTGTTGGGGCCTGTGAGCTGATCTAGAGCACCAACTGCCCACTAGCAATAAGGATACTTCCTGAGTGGCTAAGACTGACCCTAAGAAGACAGAAGAAGGAAATGGGTTCAGTCTCTGGATTTGTTCACATGGACAAATCCCAAATCCATTGATGGGTTTCCTCCAATGGAAATGACCTTTCTCGTTTAGGGGCCTTGTTTAGGAAGCTGTTTACTATGGGGAGGCTTCCTAGAAAATAGACCTGGACCTGGGAGTCTTTGCTTCTATGTTAAGTACTACAAAGTCTGGAAAGAGAAGATTTTCTTATTCTTCAAAGACTTCATCCTTTAGAAAACCCCTACACAAATTGTGACCCTTCATTAATGTCTTAAAGAGAGGTTATATGACTTCCCCATGGTGGTTAGTGGCCGAGGCAGAACTTACACTAAAGTCTTCCTTGCTCCAAGTCCAGTCATCAGTCTAATTCACACACTCTCTTGCTTCTATTGTTGCTGTTGTTAAATTGTTTCAGTCGTATGACTCCATTTGGGATCTTCTTGGCAAAGATACTGGAACGGTTTGTCATTTCCGGATCATTTTTACAGGTGAGAAAACTGAGGAAAACAGGATTAAGTGACTTGACCAGTAACTGTCTGAGGCCAGATTTGAACTCAAGAAGATGAGTCTTCTTGACTCCAGGCCCAGCACTGCATCCACTGTGCCACCTAGCTGCCCATCTATATATACTTCTAAACACTATGTTCTTTGTGCATGTATGTACTCTTTGTCCTCTGGTTAAAAATAAAATAAAATAAAATACTGTAGTTTTCAGTGTGTGGCAGCAGGACTTAGAAGGAAAAAAAAGGGAAGGGGCAGATGCTAAAACTGGCATCCAATTATTATGGCAATAGCAGAAGGAGGAGAGATAACAAGTGATCAGTTACATTAGATCTTGATTCTGGAAAGCCACACAGGTGCAGGAACCAAGAAGTTTGGGAGACTCAGTGCCAGAAATTAAGGTTATTGAGGAGAGTTCAGAAAACAGTGAAAGACGAAAGCCATTGGGCAAAGGGCAAGTGTCCCTGGATGGTTCCAAGAAAGATCTGGTATCTTTGTGCTGACTGAGATCAATAAGGCAAGTGGGTCATGTTAAGATCTTTTCCTTTTGTTGGAAGGACAGAAGAAAAGTACTATGAGCTGTGAGCTAGATGAGCATATGGGTATAATCTCTGGCTATCTAATTTTCTAACCCTGACCAAGTAAAAGACAAGGAAAGTGAAACAAGTAAATATAATGTTCAAAGCTCTTTAAAAAAAAATGGTAACACATATACTCACAAACTTATCTCTCAAGGAGCTTTCTCCTAATTAGCTTTTGTTTGAAGACCTGAACTTAAAATTTCACTACTGAATTATATAAATTGGATGAGGGAAGGAGAAATGTGAAGACAACTTGTCCTAGTTTCCAGTATCCAGAGAGTTTAACTAAATTTTTAGGGTAAGGGGTATTCTAAATAATTCTGATAACTCTGAAATTTTTATTAGTGAATTATTTCATTATTGCTATTAATAATATGATTCTTGAAGGGAGGAAACAAGCATTTATTAAGCACCTACTATGTGACAGACACTGTTCTAAGCACTTTACAAATATCTCATTTGATCCTCACAACAACCACAGGTGGTAGGTGATATTATTTTTCCTATTTTGAGGAAATTGAGGCAAACTGAGGTTAAGTAACTTGTCCAGGGTTCCACAGCTAGTAAATGTCTGAGGCTAGATTTGAACTCAGGTCTTCCTAACTGCAGGCCCAAAACTCTATCCACCAAGCTACCTAGATTCTTTCCATGCATGAATAGTATATATCTTCCACAAAGAGCTTCTGAAAAATGGCTGACAAGCAAGCTCATCACTGTTGAAGTTCTATTGATTTTTGAGATCCCTCGATTTCCTCGTGGAGGTTAGGTCTAAAGACTTACAAAATAAGAAAGAACAAGCATGAGGCCCCCAAATCTGCCAGAGTTCTTTGTTTTTATCTGTCTACAGTGTGTGGGAGTTAGTAGCCTCAGCTGGGAAGTTTTTCAGTGGTATTTTGATAACACAAGAAATTATTGCAAGGTTGCTCTCTCCAAAGTCACCAATGATCTCTTAATCACAGAATTCAATGACCTTTTCAATTCTCTTCCCTGAGCTCTCTGGAACATTTAATGTTTTTAATACCTTTTCTCCTTGAAACTTTGTCCTCCTTTGGCACTCATGTCACTGCTCTCTTGATTTTGCTCCTCCTTCTATGAGAATTCTTCGTAAGTCTCTTTCTCTGGCTCCT